TCATTGCCTACAGTGACCCAGTCGCCATTCGACTTGCAGACGCAAGACAAAGTGTTGATGGTGACTGGAAAGCCAGGTTGACACTCATGAAGGACAAGGACGGCGTGTGGCGACAGCTGCAAAATGTGGAAGACTACATCAAACTGGGTGAGAATGCATTCGGGCGCATCACCACAGACCAAAACCCACAGAGGACATGGAATTTCTTTGCAACCAGCCGTTTGAAAGACTATTGGGAGCAAGATGCTGAAGTACCTGTGTTCCCATACCCGGAACCAGAAGGAGAGATCAAACACCATGAGTGGTCAGAAGAGGAACAAGAGGACGTAGAAGAGCTTGAGGAGCAATGGGAAGCACAGGACATTGAACAGATGGTGGTTGCAGAAAAGAAAGATGAGGTGGAAGTCGACGAGGTAATCTATGACGAGAATACCACAGTGAAGGACCTGCAGCTAGCATGCAAGGAGAGAAACCTACCATACACAGGGAGCAAGAGACGGCTGGTAGCATTCAAAGTTGACCTTGTAAACAAACTACAATTGAGCATTGCCAACAAGTTTCTCAATGAGAGCCGGAGGAGACCTATGACATTGGGTCAACCGAAGTTGCCATCGTTAAAGGAACAAGAATGGCACTTCGTCACACACTGGCCGTATGCACCCTGGTGTCAAGCTTGCGTGGCTAGCAGGGCAAAGGAGGACAAACATTTGCCACAGGAGAAGAAGACAGACCCGGGAAAGAACATCATCCAGATAGACTTCTTCTACACGTATACAGGTGAAGAGAGAAGGATGGAAGAACAAAGGGCGCCAGATAAGGTGCAGGAAAGACAAGATCAAGTTGGAACGTGCTTGATCATGGCTTCGAAGCCATCCATGTGGTCCCAATGCAAAGCAAAGGAACAGCAAGCCTAAAGCATGTCACAGAAGAAGTGATTCGGTCCACACTGGAGAATGCATCCAGAGACGCCTGCATTTTGCAAGCAGACGCTGAACGGGCCACCAGACAGATTCCACGGCCAGTTCCGCAAGTGAGGAAGGTGATGAACCTTGAGACGAGATCAGATTCACTGGGCCAGGACAGCGCGAGTCAAATGGGTTGGTGGAAAGGGCAGTGCAATCAGTTCGACGTTTGGCAAACTGCCTTCGATCATTTGCAGGGTACAAAGCCAACATCAACATTGTAGGAAACTTCCAACTATACCCATGGGCTTTCAGGCACGCATCCTTCCTGATCAACAGATTCAGAGTCTTGGAAAGAACAGGGAAAACATCCTATGAGCTAGCCACAGGGCATGGCTACAGGGGCAAGCTGGCACTCTTTGGCGACAGCGTGACGCTCAAGCGCGTGGTGAGGAACAAAGGCTCAGACGGATTCATCAGAGGCATCTGGTGTGGAAAACATGTGCCATTCTCACACCTGATGGGGCTTATGAGGCGAGGACAATCCGTCGATTGGCGTCAAAGCAATCATTCTATGCGCTGGAAATGGTGATAGCAAAAGGACTGCCATGGAACTACCCCCCACAGGGTATTCTCATGAAGCGAGTCATTGGTTCACCGCAGAGGAATCCTACAATCGAAGCAGAGATAAATCCTGATGAGCTTGAGGAAATGTCAAAGACCGTGGCGGCAGGACTAGTGACACCAGCCCCAGGACTTACGGCACAACCAAAGACTCCAGCCATGCAGTTGGCAGCGCCTGAAAAACCAGCCATCCAGACAAATGCAGGACAAAAGAGGTCAGCAGAAGGAGCGCAAGAAGAAGAACCAGAAGCAAAGAAACACGACCTCGAAACATCACCGAGGAGACTGGCGATGAAGAGAGAAGGTGAACAACCAAGCGACGAAACCGATGACAAGAAACAGAAAACCAGGGAGGAAGGAGAGGAAGAAGGAAAAAAAATGACAGCAGGAAGGCAGAAGATGCTGTAGAAGGTTCCCCAAGTTCAAAGACGGCAAGGTTGTATCCACCCCATTATGCTGGGATAGACTCCATAGAAACTCATGGCAATGAAGAAGCAGGACTGGAGTACATGGAGGAGATCACTGAAGAGATTGAAGAGAACATGTGTTTTGGAGGAGAGGAGGATGACGATCCTCCAGAAGTGACAGAAGATGAACATATGGCTTTGGATGAAGAAGCCAAGAGCAAGGAGATTGAGAGGACTGGCAAAAAGGCCAGCAGATAGAACTTTGCTCAGTATGCAGGGACGAAGGGACCATGCTAGAACTTGAGCAAACACCAGACGCACAGTCATCCCTGCATACATGAGCTGCCCGCGCATACAGGCCCGAACACATTTGAAAAGGTGCGAGATAGGTTTTTCACATACTCTATAAAAAAATCAACTATTGTATTGACGCTGCTGCCACCTGGTTTCTTGTTAAACGGAGACCTTGCCTGCTTTTGTTGGGCGTTGTGCTTTTGTTGCGCCTGCTGGATTGGAGGCTTGATGTTACATACCAGTAGCAAGTTTGTTTCTGTTTGCATCCTTGGTGTTCCTTGCCAGCCCTCACCTAGTTGATGCCCCTGTGCCAGACTCGCTTCGCTTTTGCAGTGCACATAGTTTGCGCAACGCGCTTTTGGCGCATGGAGTGGGGGAGAGTGGCGAAATGGACTGGGCGCGTTTGTCAGCTCAATTATGATGGCGGTGGGATCTTGGAGCATCATATCAACGGGTTTCCCAGGCACATCCCATTCTTCAAGCCATTTGTTCTTTTGCGGGTTGGTCAGGAAGTTTCCTTCAGAACGGAAGCTGTGGCAGATCTTGTGGAGGCTGTTGACATACGAGTGCAATGCCACTCAGATCGGCCAGTTTCAGCTGACAGGAAGGTGACAGGATGCGAGACATTGACTCCAATGAGGAGCAATCAGAAGTCATGCGGTGACAGCCAGATGAGTTCAACACTATCGCCCAGTCAAACCCAGCGCTTTCAGCATCAAGTAATGCGATTCCAGAATGCCCAGCGAGCAGAGCAGCTGCAACAGATCATTAAGGCTGAAAGATTGCTGAGCACTTTGCTTAGAGAATCCCAGCCAGATGGCGATGCCTTCTGTCGCTTGGTGAGAAAGTGTGCAAGTTGGTTGCGGCCACCAGTTCGACAGGCTGGAAGCTGCCAAATGGAATCTACGCAATGTTCCGAAGTACCTGCAGGAGATGAGCAGGACCAACTGCGCCTTCAATGGCGCGTTCGAAAGATTTTGCTTGGCGCTTTGAACCACCTGGACTTACAAGACCCTTGCACCTTCCATGCAGTGCAAACCGCCATTTTCTACGTGATTTCTTTGCTTCAACAGTTTGACAAGAAGCACGCGAGTACTTTCAATTCAAAAATTGAAAGGACGTGTTCATTGAAACAGTGGCTGCGACTGCGACAGTTGATTGTAGAGAGCGGGGTGGGGATTACGCTGAGGCGTGACGAGTCCAAAGGTTGGAATGCAGATCACTTTGACCATTTGCATGACAAAAACTTTCTGTGCCAAGACTCTTCGGCAGAACTCCACTCAAACCACTCGGATGCACATGTGCCCGCTGTTGTGGCCCAGCCGGAATTGCTAAAAAGATCAAGTAAGAGATCAGTGAAGGGTTACCAGAAAGCATTTTCAGGCACTGCATACGGGCCCTCAGCAAAGACGCAGGCCTTGCCAACAGTGTCTCAAGATGCAGAGTTCCCCGTGCAGTTGCAGTGTTCGGAGTGTCCGTTCACAATCACCAGTAGCTGGTGGTTCCAACATCCCAAGACGCTGATCAAGTCCCTTCTCACTCCAAGGGATGGCCACAATTTGTGCCAACGAGTGCTCAAGAAGCGGTGTTATTGGCGTAGCTTGGATGGTAGCCCAGTGATGGCAGCAATCTCCAGCAACATGGAATTCTGCACTTCTCACCAGCGACTTTTAACGCAGTGTGCGCCCTGTGGGGGCAAGAAAATGTGCATCCACGCAAGGCAGAAGTACCACTGCCACAAATGCAGGGGGAACGGTTTCTGTGTGCATGGGCGACGCAAATCTACGTGTCGTGATTGCTGGAGTGAAGGCGAGCAAGAGAACAAAAACGATAACTGCACAAGATCCCAGATGCTTGCTCGTACATTCATGGAGGAAGTTTGTCATTGGATTTTTTTTGCATATTCAAGCTTTCTGGATGTACCATCCATACGTTGTGCCCTGTCAGTATGTTATGCACGTGGGAAAACACCTGTAGTAGATTGCAAAATTTTTGTGCAGTTCATTTCCCGTTCTCTAATGTTTTTGTCAGAAGCACGTATTATTAGCGGATTCACTCTGTCTTCCGATCCTTCAACCCGTCCCTGACGCCTCAACACGTACGCGAGCCATTCAGCAGTCTTCGGTATGCTATTGCTGTCTCCGGCCTTGCGTAGAGCGTGGGTAGACAGTCAGAGCGCTCGAAAGTCCGCATGCAGGAATGGATTTGCACAAATGCCATTTTGGACCCAGCTTTCATGAATTTGCTGCAGAACCGCGTCGCTTGTATATAGCTGGATGCTGGTGTGCTGCTGCAGTGGTCAGTAGAGTCATAATACCACAGTTGTACTGGCAACAGCGCGGCCCTTGTGAGAATCAAACGGCCATGGTTGGTTTGTGGTTCATTGCCAGCTTCATTGCAACATGCAGAAGGGCAAAGATCAGATGGGCGGCTTACGCAAAACAGAAAACCAGGTCAAATAGTACAAAGCAACAAATTGGGCCATGTAATGTAGGGTATCATTTTTTGGTGAAGTAATTTGTTCGGCACCACTGACCTTCCGCAATTAATTTTGGTTCATTGCATTGAATTAGATAAGAGAAAACATGACAAAATGACTCCATTTCTTGACGTCTTGGCAAATTCTTTGCACAAATATCAAACTTGCTATTCGCGCATATCGCGCGCGTGCGGGTGAATGCTGCGGTTAAGGCACACCTCATGTGTGAACCGAAATGATGTGCCAAGGCCGGCAGGAATATGCCACAGCCAAAGGGTCAGGTTGCGACTTCCGAAGTGCTTTGGCCCAAACAACCTTAGGACAGTCGCTTGACGTGTGCACACCAAGAGGGCAACATGACGTGCAATGGTGCCGAGCCTTTGTTGCCACCCAGCCGGAGGGCAAAACCAAGATGCATATTTGGCTACTTGCAGCTTGGCCAGACGAACATATATAAATATACTATATACTTGATTTGCTAGAATATCCAGAGACGTCAAACCACATGTCAACCGGTCAATCATCCTGACACGATTCACGACGCATAAGGCTCGAGTGTTTCCGGAAAATCGGTTGCGCGCTGCTTTGCATGGTAGCGGAGCCCGGGCCGTAGCGAGCCCGGGCTCCCGCTGGGCACAACGACAGCCACATCGTGGCCACGATCCTCATTGGTTGGCAGCCCGAAGGCAAAGGGCATTTGGTTGTGTGAACGTTTGATCCTCGCTTGCCTTGCGGGTGGCATCAGCGCTCCAGCTCTACAGGAGATCAACTATTACAGCCCAGGACGTGTGATATCAACTGCCTGGAAGGTCAAGAAGCGCTGTTTCCACTCAGTGATCCTGGAAGAGACATCTACATCGGCAAGGTCAAGTGGGTGAAGTCAGGAAGAGCTACAAAGGCATCCCTGATCGTCAGGGAGAAAGGAAAGAGAAAGAAGAAGAAGAAGAGGCCAATCCGTGAGGTGACTTTGAAGAGACCTGATATGTACAGGCAACCCTGAAGTATAGGTCTTTAAACAAATGCAGACGTTCGCCTTTCGGACCCTTGATGATCGTGAGGTGACGGTAGTTGTCCCCAGCAGGTGGTCCTTTTTGGAGAGGCTCGAAACCAAACAGGAAGAGATCCAGGGTGACAGAGTGTGTGCATTGGTGGCACAGTGGAAGTTCTGGGAGCTTGTGGCCTATAGCGGGCAGAGTTTTTCAGATCAGGACGGAGAAGGAGGAGCAGACTGGAGCACGAAGAGTTACTACCCGAAGCCCCGGAGGATTGAAGCGATGGCTGAGGAGAGTTTGCGGCTCATTTCGACAGCTCTGGAAAGGCTCCAGGTGACTCAGAGTGCACAGGCCTGGTCCCGGCATTTGAAGACGCCGGATGTGTTCAAGCCTGAATCCCGTGATCTTGAACTCAAAGGTTGGAGCGATTGGAAGTTTTCCTTTTGCAACTATGTCAGGGGCATTGATCCAGCCCTTGCAGCGGCTATGGAGGCCGTGGAGAGGGAACTCAATGCCGACTATGCCCTTGACGACATGTCAGAGGAGACGCAGGGCATGGCAGTCAGGTTGTACAGCCTGCTCACATCATATATGAGGCAGAGGCCGCTCAAGTTAGTCCGCCACGTGAAGCAGGAGAACGGGTTTGTGGCATGGCAGGTTCTGCTCAAAGAAATGCAGCCTGCAACACGGGCCAGGAGTCTAGCTCTGCTGACTCAACTGTCTCGTGTACAGTTTGCAGAGGGCAAGACGCTCAGTGAACAACTTGCTCAATACGAGGCTATCGTGGCCGAGTACGAGAGGATTTCAGGACGGGAGTACAGTGAAGATGCCAAGGTGGCTTCCATACTACAAGCTTGCCCCAACTATATGAAGCAACACTTGCAGTTGTGGGTTGATGATGCGACGACCTACGAGTCCTTGAAGAACAAGATACATCACCTTGAGGCTTTGACCACAAGGTGGGAGGCATCCAACAGCTTGGCCCTTCCTACAAGAGCAAGCGGAGACGACCCTATGCCGATGGAGGTCGACTACGTGGGCAGGGAGAAGGGCAAGAAGGGAGGAAAGAAAGGTAAGGATGCAAAAGGGAAGAGCAAAACCAAGGACAAAGGAAAGGGGAAGCCAGAAGGTAAAGGAGGTTGGAAAGGACAAGAGAGAGGAAAGACCCTGTGGGAGAAAGGTCCATGGAGGAAGCCAGAGAAAGGGAAGAGTGAGAAAGGAGGAAAGGGCAGCAAAAGTGGTGTATGCCACAACTGTGGCAAACCAGGGCATTACGCCAAAGACTGTTGGAAGCGAGTTCAACAGATCGAGGAGCATCCAAATCCAGGAGGAGCATCGAGTTCATCAACAGGACAAGTTGGAGGAGGAGCTGCGCCACAGACCACATCAGTGAAGATGGTTCGCATTGCTACTCCACCTGATGCTCCATGTACTGAGGTTTTTGACTTGACGACACCACGTACTGCTGTAGACAGTGAATGGCATCCATGGAGAGTACAGGTAATTAGGCTGGCTGGCGACTTTGAGAGATCAGAGCAGCTGGTCGAGCCCGAGGCCGAAGTGATGGAAGAAGAGGTGTTCTATGACTGTTTGGAACCTTCAGTCTGGGCACCCGAAGAAGTTCCCGTTATTGCACTGGACCTACAACAGGTTGAGACTGAGGAGATCACCCTTCACATTATCCAGATGGTCAGTGTGGGAGACTTGGATGAAGAGTCATGTTTCGTGACACTTGACAGTGGAGCGGATGTGTCAGTGTTGCCAGCAAACTATGGCAACGTGGGAGAATGGAGGCCAGGCGCAAAAGAACTGAAGATGGTCGATGCCCAAGGAACGAGGATAGCACACCAAGGCTTGACACGGGCCAAGGCAAAGGTGAAGGATGTGAACGGCAAGGAGATCGAGATCATTGAGGAGTTCGTTTTTGGGAACGTACAACACCCCATCATGTGCGCTGGCAGATTGCTTCGAAAGGGTTGGAGCATCCAGTCAAAGGAAGATGGTCTTCAGCTCTGTCATGCTGATCGGGACATCACCATTCCCATCAGCAACGAGAGACATTCACTGCAGTTCGAAGCAAGAACCTATGGAGTGGAGCAGAAGAACAGCCAAGAGGCAATGGAGAAGAGGGTGATGGTGCTTCGAGGCCATCTTAGCCGCTACGTGGAGGAGTTGGAGTTCGTCCCCGGTTGGCATAGGTTGCCAAACGGAGTGATCGCCCACAGCGACCCGGTGGCCGTCTATATGGTTGACCCCAGTCAAAGCATCGAAGGAGACTGGAAGGCTCGCATGACATTGATGAAAGACAAAGATGGTCTTTGGAGGCAAGTTGAGAACACAGAGAATTACAAGGAGCAAGGTGAGAAAGCCTTCAGGAAAGTGAGCGCGGACAGGAATCCGGAAAGGATGCTGACGTTTTTCTCACCCTACAAGCTCCTGGACTATCGGGCTCCAAACTCAGAGGTACCAGTGCATCCGTATCCAGAGCCAACAGGTGAGATCAGGCACATTGAATGGTCAGATGAGGAAGAGCAGGAGAGAGAAGAAGAGCTGGAAGAACAGGTTGAGGCCCAGGACATTGAGAAGAGGTACGTCCTGGAGAGAGAAGATGAGGTTGAGCTCGACGAGGTGATCTACAATGAGAAGAGCACCGTGAAAGAACTACAGTTGGCATGCAAGGAACGAGGACTGCCGTGCACTGGTAGCAAAAAGAGGTTGTTGTCCAGGCTCATTGGCTTCAAGGTCGACATAGATCATAGAAGACAAGTTTCAGATGAACATTGCAAGCAAGTTGTTTCGAGAGCAACAACGCACACCAATGACCTTGGGACAACCAAAGCTACCATCATTGCCGGAGCAAGAGCTTCACTTCGTCACTCATTGGCCCTATGCACCATGGTGTCAGGCATGCATGGCATCAAGGGCGAAGGAAGACAAACATATGCCACAAGAAGGAAAGCCTGACTTAGGTACAGCCATTATCCAGTTGGACTTCATGTACACCTACACCGGCCCTGAAAGTCGCACAGAAGAGCCAACACAAGGCAGGGTCCAGGAACGTCAAGATCAGTTCGGCGCCTGTTTGATCATGGCCTCAACAGAAACCAAAGCTATTCATGTGGTGCCAGTACCCAGCAAGGGCACTGCCAGCTTGAAGCAGGTGACTGAAGAAGTGATTCGTTTTTCTCTGGAGAATGCCGGAAGAGAAAAGTGCATTTTTCAAGCGGATTCAGAAAGGGCAACTCGCCAAATCCTGAGGTCTGTACAACAAGTGAGGAAGGTGATGGGACTACAGACTGAGATCCGTCTCACAGGAGCAGGACAGCATGCTTCGAATGGATTGGTGGAAAGAGCTGTCCAGACAGTGAGGAGACTTGCAAACTGCTTGAGGTCATTTGCAGAGGAACGAGCACGGTTGTCCATCTTGGGTGACAACCATCTATATCCATGGTCCTTCAAGCATGCATCGTTCCTGATCAACCGGTATCGTGTACTGGAAGGTGTTGGGCGAACAAGCTATGAGCTGGCCACAGGACACGAGTACAGAGGGAAGCTTGTGCTTTTTGGTGAAGTGGTCATGTACAAGAGGATGATCAAGCACAAAGGGTCAAAAAAAAGTGTTCGAGCAGGGCATTTGGTGTGGCAAGCACTCCTTCAATGACTGCCAAATTGTGCTGACACCGGGGGAGCATGCGAAGCAAGAACAATTCGCAGGTTGGCTCCAGAACAAGCCTTTGATGGCCCAGCTCTCATCACTTGCAGAGGATTACTATGGGCATATTCACCACAGGGCATTCTCATGAAGCATGGAGGTCAAGCCCAGAAGTACCGGCAACCAACATTAGAAGCTGAGATTCAGCCGGAAGAGCTTGATGATATTGCCCAAACGGTAGCTGCAGGACTGGTGACACCAGCACCAGGTCTTCATATCAGCCAGAATCAACAAGGAACTGGAGTTGCAGCACCGGTGACACCAGCACTGCCAAATCCATCGACAAAGAGGCAACAAGACGATATTGAAGACGACCGGACTTTGAAGAGACAGGATACCACAGAGTCGCCAAGGAAGTTAGCAGAGAAGAGAGAAGTTGAGGAGGTAGAAGCTGAAGCAGAGAAGAGAAAGAAGACTGAGGAGAGCAGTGAGGATAAGCCCAGAGATGCTGAGATGCACATGGGCGAACAGAATGATGCGGCAGCAACAACAAGACCAGCTGAGCATGAAGCTGAGGGCTCACCTAGTGGGAAGATTGCAAGGCTGTATCCGCCTCACTATGCAGGCATCCAAAGTGTCGAAGTCCATGGTGACGAAGAGATGGGTTTGGAACACATTCCTGAGGAAATGAATGAGGAGATGCAGTACAGCTATGGAGGTGAAGAAGATGGTGATCCACCAGAAGTCACGCAAGAAGAGCTGGATGCCTTGGACAAGGAAGCAGCCAAGGTAGAGATCGAGAGGATGCTGAAGATTCCAGCCATGGAGGAATCAACAGATGAAGAAGTGAGAGCATGTTCGGGGTACACTATTTCAACAAGGCTGGTGTACGCATGGAAGCACAGGTTGGAGCAAGGAGGCTGGTTTCGTCGTGCGAGGCTGGTCGCAAGGCAATTCAAAGGAAGTGTGGATGTCGAGCAGGCATTTGCTCCTACGTCGCTCATGATCATACCAAAGATGATGATCCACGTGCTTCTGAATGTGTGCGCAGGATTTATGGCCATGACCCTGGACATCAAAGACGCTTTCCTCATGGCCGACCAACCAGTTGAAGAGAAGGCATTCATCAAGATTGACGAAAAGGTGTTCAGATTGTTGAGGTGCCTGCCAGGACAACGAACAGCAGCATCACAATGGTTTCAAAACTTCTCACAGGCCTGCAAGGAGTTCAAACTGGAGCAGGATGTGATGCAGCCCACTTTGTTCCTAAGGCAAGGAAACATGTACCTGACGGTGCATGTAGATGATGTCTTTATGGTGGGAACGCCTCAAATCCTTCAAGAGTTTGTGATGTTCTTGAAGAACGTGAAGAAATGGAAAGTAGAAGCGAAGGGGCCGTTCAGTGCAGGAGAGAAATTCCTATATCTCAAAAGGCAGTTCAAGATCACAGATGATCACTGCGACATCAGATGCGACAGAAAGCAATATTATGGGCTTGAGAAGGAATTGGATCTGTTCTGCAGAGCATATCGAAAGACGCCCCTCGATCAGAGCTTCACCAGGAAAGATGATTCACCACTCCTGGAGGCAGATGAGGTGACAAAGTTCAGGAGCATTGTTGGAAGACTGATGTATATGGCGAGCGAGAGGCCAGACGCACAGTTTGGGATTCAGTGCTTGGCAAGGAATGACAGCGCCAACAAAGCAAACTCTGAAGAACGCATGGCACCTATGCTCATACCTCCAAGGAACCATTGACTATGGTGTGAGATTGTCCAGGAGGGAGAAAGGAAGATCAGTATTGGCATATTGGACACCAGAGAAGATGAGGAAATCAACAGCGGTCCTGCACATCTGGTGGAAGTCCTGACGGATGCAGACTACGCAGGAAACAGAGATGACAGAAAGAGCACCACCTCGTTTCAAGTGTTCATTGATGGAAATCTCATTGAGAGCAGAGTCAGAACACAGAAAGCCATATCACTATCCTCAGGAGAAAGTGAGTTTGTTGCGGTGGTGGCAGGATGCTCAGACGGCATGCTGATCAAGCATTTGCTCAACAAGATGACAGGAGAAAGCTGTCTGATGAAGATCAGAACAGACAGTTCAGCTGCCAGATCCATGGTCCAACGCCAAGGGATTGGACGTGTGAGGCACTTAGATGCATCATTGCTATGGGTCCAGCAAAAGGAGAGCGAGCGAGCTGTCAGTATAGCGGCAATCCCATGAGAGATGAACAGTGCTGACATTGGCACAAAGAGCTTGACAAGGAAGAGGTTGCTGGCCCTACTCTACATGATGAAGTTTGTGGACGCGGTTGGCGACAGAGTTGGCACTGAGGAGTACAACGACCTCGAACACCAGTACCAGATCAAGAAAGGAGCCAAGAAGATGATGAAGTCAAAAGACATCCGCATCGGCCTACTGCTACTGATGGCAAATATGAATTCAGTGGCCGGAAGCCAAGTCGCAACAGAGGAGAAGGCCAGTGCTGACTATGGATGGTGGGCACTAGTTTTCTGTGCCGTGATCGGAGCCTTGAGCACATTGAGTTGGCTGCGGATCTTCATGATTGAAGGTCTCTATGGCATGCTGGGTCGGACGATCAAGTATGAAACCTCAGCAAGGCAGGAGACCACAAGCCAGAAGTGCGATCAACAGACTCAAGCAACTGAGTGGATCGACTCCTACATCTGGCAACAGTATGAAGAGGAGAAAGAAGAAATGGAAGAGGAGATGAACAACATGCAAGCTGCACTGCTGGAGGCAGAAGAAATGATAGGTCATTTGCAAGAAGACCTGAAGGAGGTTCGACGTCAGCGAGACGACAACCTCAACATGTTTTTGAAGAGCCAGCAGCAGCAGATCAAGTTGGAGAAGAAAATGTGTAATCTCCGAAAGGCACCGAGCGGACATGTCATACATTTTGACAGCCGGTGTCGATATTGGCAAAAGGCCAATGAAGCTACATTTTGTAGTACGTGCCAGGATGAAGGGGCCGTGCTAGAATATCCAGAGACGTCAAACCACATGTCAACCGGTCAGTCATCCTGACACGATTCACGACGCATAAGGCTCGAGTGTTTCCGGAAAATCGGTTGCGCCCTGCTTTGCATGATTGCAACCCTGGATCTTGCTTTTGCAGCAGTCAGACGTGGCCTTGAGTCTTGCACACTAAGGCCTATATGGTCGGAGTGTGTACCTCTCAACAGCGACACTGGCTCCGTTGATAGTGTTCGTTGCTGGGCCAAATCTTAGTCTTGTGAGTCTTCGACCTCACACTAAGTACATTAGGATACATTAGGGCTAATGCAGCCTTACCTAGACTAGGTGTAAAGCAGGTCCGGCAGGTTGGGGTGATGCCCCTGTGCCCCCAAGGAGTCACAGCAAACGTGCTGGCTGGCTGTATCATCGGAATCAGGCAAACATTGACGGGGATTGTGAGTGCTACTTTGGTGTACACTGGGTCAGAATACCCTGAAATCACAGACATGTTCCCGTTTGGCATCTCAATGATGTGGTATTCAACCATGGCGGGGTCAGCATTCTACGCGGTCTTCGGACGCTTGCAGTACAACACCAATGCAACCCAAGAAGTGTGCGCCATTCTGTATGGGGCAATGGCGCAGAACGCAGCAGTGACTTTGCGCAAGGTCGGCAGGGCTGATCAAATCCAGCCGACCATTCTTGCGTTGATCGTGTCAAGCACAATGCTGACAGGCATTTGCAGTGTGTTGTTAGGTAAACTTGGTGTTGGCAAGTTGATGCTTCGATTTCCAACTCCAGTCACCAGTGGCTTTCTGGGCACCATTGGTTTCTTCCTTGTGCGAACAGCTTTGCAAGTCTCCTCTGGTGTCTCGGCTGCTGCAATTCAACATCATAAATCATAAACCATCTATATGTGGGCCCCACATAGTGGGGCTAATTTTTTTTTGAAACATGTTAGCTTTTTAAATAAGGATTTTCCCATTATATATATAAATTTACTTATTGTGTTGAAACATACTGTTTTGTTTGTTTGTTTGTTTGTTTTCTCCGTGCCTGTGCCCTCTGCCCGATGCGTTGAACAGACAAGGAGTGCAGTTTGTTAACTTCTATCCAGTCGACTTTGGTGCCTTCTTCAGTATGCACAGCTTGGCTCCAGTGATATGCTTGATGGTAATGGTGGCATTAATTCGAAATGGCCCTTCAGCCATTGCAAAAGCATTTCCGAACAGCAAACTCTTGAAACTCTCCGGGCTTTTCTGCCAACTTTGCCCTTTGGGACTTTTCTATATCGTCGTGTGTTTGGGTGGCTTTTCGATGGGAACTCTGAGCAAGAACGGTTGGACATACCCAACCCAAGCCAGTCGATCGTTTGCAAGCCTTTGGACCACATATGACCTCAGGGATGCAGATGTAACTGTGCTACTCTCAAACTTTCCCTCCATGCTTATGTTGGTGATGATGTCCGTGCTTTGCACAATGACGGGGGTTCTGGGCATCACCGGAAAATTCCGGATGGGTCCGGATGGTGATCCAGCACCGATGGAGACAGTAGACTTCGATGCAGAACTTACCACCGTGGGCTTCGCAAGTATTTTTGCCGCGTTGTCCAACGGTGTTGTCACTTTCCACCGGTTGGGAAGTTCTATCCAGCTTCGGATGGATGGAGGAACGCACAGGCTAGCAGTCCTGACTTCATCTTGCTTTGTCGGCACGTTCTTCTTCACCAGCCTGCCACTTGGCCACTATATTCCAAAGTTCTTCTTGGGTGGCCTTTTCATGGGGAGTGGTGTGAGCTTTCTGGAGAGCGCATTTCTCTCCTACCGCAGTTTGCCACCTCAGAAATTCATGGGTTACCGCCTTCCTTCTCCGCAGTACTGGGTGACTGTTGCATGCATTCTGGTCGCCACATTCTCATCTCCGTTCCATGGGATCGGAGCAGGTTTAGTCCTAAGTCTGGTGATTTTCCTATGGGATAGTGCGCAATCATCGCCAGTGGCCAGCATGTCGACTGGGAGCCACACTGTGAGCCGCACATTTCGGCCATTCTGGGAGTTGGAAGCTTTATGTCAGCATGGTCACAGGATTCTGCTCTTCTATTTGCAGGGGCAGCTCTTCTTTGGTTCAGGCCAGACTTTGGCTTCCAGCTTGGTCGAAGCAATTGAGCAAGACCTCCTGGGTGGAGCAGTGTCGGAGAGGATAGCCGTGACAAAAAACATCAACAAAGAGGCATAGTTGTCACAAGGATGTTGGTGAGGCCGTTTGCTGAGATACATGCGTGGAGATCATGCACAGTGTGCCTGTACTTGGAATTTGTGTGAGCAGAGTTTCTAGCTATGTGGTAAACCGTTCACACAGGTTTGGGTTGAGACAGTGTCGCCGCCTTGGTGTCTCTGTGAACCCTTGCAGGATGTCGGAATATTGTATCTTAAGCTTTGGAAAAGTCACCAGCATCGATGCCTCGGCTGCTGAACAGTTGCGGATGGCCGTCAAGCGAGTCTCCGAACATGGCTGCAAGGACACTCGGCAAGGAACATGCGAGAACCCGGCAGCGTCCGACCAAAAGCAAAACGGAGCAAAGGGCAACATGTCACACCCATTCTTGCTGTCAAGGCAGGTTTCCAACCTTTGAGTTGAGCCTTTGGCTTTTGCTGAGTGAGGTGATTTTCTGCCGCATGAACTCACAGGTGTTCGATGCCCTCTCTACCCTGAAGGTGGTCACAGCGCCCGATGTGGATCTTCGTCAGCTTCTAGGCTTGCAAACAAAAGGGCCCAGCGATGTCGTTGGAGAGGACTGATCCCGTTGCTCTTTCTTGCTGCAGCATGTGGCTTTTCAACACAGCCCGGCTCGATGTCAGACAGACTCCCAGGACTCCAACAGGCTGACAGACGCTAGTGAAGTTGGTGACGCATCTCCGCCAACGCTATCAAGAACTTTGAGTTGTTGGGGTGAAGGCCAGCCCTTTAAGAGTTCTATTTATGAGGACTACGATGCCTTCGATGATGTGAAACTTGGCGGCCAAGACGCGAAATCAAGACACCACCCTCAAGACTTGTCATTCTGTAATTTCTGTAGCTTGAGCTTGAGTGTGCTGAAAGGACAGATGCATTGGACTACACAGGTGATCGGCTTCTTGAAAAGTATCTTTACCAGTCGTCTTTGAAGGGCTACATGCTTGAGTACCGCAACGCCTGCAGCACCGGGGCACGCTTGGCAAACGAAGCGTTTGAGGCCATGAACCTTCTCCCAGAAGGTACGGAAAGGGCATGAAATGCAAAGCGTGTTATATTGACGTTATTAGTCATAAGTTATGACATATATATATATATATTGTAATGTTATATGGACATAATTCAACATATAAAACTATATAAGTGTCGATGTATTCATGCAACGTTTTACGTGTCAAACTCTGCTTCTTTGCATCACATGCTGTCAGGCTTCTTGACCCAAATCCAACCATTCTGTGCCATTCAGATGGGCTTGGCGAGTGGGCAGCGTCTTGCAGAGGATGATGCTTTCTGCTTCGTGTTTCAAGGCAGGGCATCGAACTCAATTATGCTATTGCCTTTTTTACGACATGCAATGCAATGCCTCAAGCCTCCCTGTGGCAAGGTGCAATTGCGGTTGTGAACGAACTGTCCGCAACCCGACTTCACAGATCGTTTCAGTCACATGTTGTTAAGCAAATTGTGAGCACATGCCACAGGCAAGACGGAAGCGTGCCAAGGACCAAAAGCAAACAAGCCAAGGGGTGAGCATCAAAGGCTTCCAGGGTCGCAGACAGAAGCGCCTGAGGAAGAGATACCCGATCCTCAGCCAAAATGGTTGAGTGCTTTTTGATTGTTCAATCGGCCTCACATACACTTCTGAGCAGATGAACACATTCCTTTTGTTGGTCTGCAAGCACGCAAGGCCAGGAAGCATAGTTGGAAAGCATGAGTTTGTACTCAACAGTGCCGCAGTTGCACTCACAGCTGGACGGGCAAGGGTTGCCATTGCTTCTGGTTACCTATATAGGCTCTGCAGAATGTATTACATGGACTTGCATCGCAGCTCCGAACTCCCAGAGTTTTCACAAGATCAAAACGGAACGACCATTTGACCCTGAGTCTCAGTCATTGCTGGTCGATGGAGTACCGAGAACTTCCGTGCAAAGCATTTGACGAACTCACCACTTCCTAGGTTGGCAGCGACTTTGCGACACGGGCACGACCACAAGCCGAGTAGTGTCAAGCCTCTCTTCTCACTGACTTCTGTGGAGTCGATGTTTTGTGATGCAACACAAGTCATTGAAATGCTCCTGCTGTCAGTGGATTTATGTAAGATATATAACAGAGCACTTTCTGAATTCGGCATTGTTGTCAATGCCGTAGTTTTAACAAGTCGAGAGGCGAGTGTATGACATACCGGGGGTTACATGTTTTGTTACTTACCTTTTGCTTGACTCATGTTTCCTGAGTCAAGTGTTCTTTGTTACACCACCTTTGGTAGAAGGCAGTCCCTTCTTGAGGCAAGTTTGGCCACATGACGGAAGTCTGGACACTGACAAGGTCATCCTGGAAGTCCCTTGGAAAGGATGCTCGGCTCAGATCAAGCTTGGGGTACATTTCAAGAAGTTTTGAGAGTTCCTTGACCTCATATGAGCTATGATGATTAGTGATTTCATGTGATGCCCTACAGTCAGCACCGACTGTACCATTTGACCGGCAGGACCTGTCCTTGGTCCTGCAGGACCTGTCGCTCAGGCAACTGGCAGAGGCGGGATCGCTAAGGGAAGTAGAATAGTACTAGTTGTTCTTGAGCTTTGACCACTAGTTGTTCTTACGATCTTGCAGCTCGCTGAAGATGACTAGCTAGACCAAATTCCAACAAAGCACGAAGGAGAAACAGCACTCCTTGATGAGTGACAACTGAGAGGCACTTGTGCTTTCCTCACGTTCCGTCGGCGTGGCAGGGACAGAGACTTTCACAAGTTGTTGATAGTTAACCTATGTTAATCTACTACTATTGGATTACTATTGGTGCTCCTATAATTGGACCCACCCTTCTGAAAGATTCTGAAGAAAGCTGTAGCAGAAGTTGACGCCACGCTGGCCTGCAAAGGGACGATCGCATGAAGTTTGCGGAAGATCCCTATTTTCTGTTTCAGTTTATTCATCTAGGAATCGTTCTGAAGGGGCTTTGACGAGAACATGTGCTAATTTTTGGCTCATTGCTTTTGCTGGTCAGCTTGGCTGTCATCAAGATTGCAGAGCTCTTGTCCACATTTCCTGCCATTCTTGCCTGGCTCTTTACTTGCAAAACGGCCAGCTTGGCCTTGCATATGTCAACAGCCGCCCAGAGAGAAGTGCCCATTTCACCACCACCCATAAACAACAAGTGCGGCCGATATCGAATCACATCAAATCAGGTCTATGACCGCCTCGAGGAATATACCGTATATACCTGATAGTCAACACATGCAAGGGGTATTCGACCACATGCTTGCTGAATTCATATAGCGTATGGGTTGCGGCGCATCAGCTGCCCAGGCCGAGCGGATGTGCAAAACTTTCAACAGCCAACTGTGCATGTAAACTCAGCGCATTCAAGGTCGAGAGGTGTCACGAATGCTAACTGCTTTCTTTTCACTAGGCTTCTGTGCCAAACTCTGTTGACGAGAAGAATGAGAAGAATGAGGGCAAAGCTTCGTGGAAAGATCGGAACGGACCAAGTGATGACCCTGCACTCCTTCATCTTCTCGAAGCAGCCGGAGCTTCGGCGTCAACAAGACCCCAACATACGCTGTCCACGTACAAAAGCTCAGACGGACCAGCCACAGCATCGTAGGACCACACCCCACCTTTTCAGACATGAGACATCAATGGCGAAATCGTACAGAACGCAACCGAGTTAACCCACCGCATCTTGAGAGGACCTCTTTTTTTAAGGCCGCTTCATGAGAAGTAAGTAAGTCGAAGTATATACTGTAAGTACTACTTGGGGCGAAATAGGCAGACTAAACTAAACCTACAGAGTCACTTTCAATTCTGAGGGCTGGTGGAACAGCTGTCGGCCCTACGCTCCCTTGGTGTTGCCAAGCCATCGCATATTTCAGACTTGCTCGTGGAGGACTTGGAAGAGGTCAGGATGATGAGTGGAGTGTGATATTTCACCTTTCCACACTTTGAAGAGTTATCATGCTTGTGTCCTAGCAAGTGTTGCAGTATGCATTGCTCCTTTGGTGTCCCTCTCTAGAGGTTGGCCTTTCGAGAGTACAGATTCGCCAATTGCAGCGAGCCTTGACCGAGCCACACGACAGATCCTTGACTGCCCTGGCGCTTGCCCCCCAGTCACATGGGGCCGCTTTCGAGCCGCTAGTAGCTCACCCTTTGCTGCCCTTTGCTCCTCGTAGGGTCCTCTTGCTCCTAGTAGCGACGCCAGGAGCCCCTAGTAGCGTCCTTGCTCCTAGTAGCTCACCCTTTGCTCCTAGTAGCGATGCCAGGAGCCCCTAGTAGCGTCCTTGCTCCTAGTAGCTCATCCTTTGCTCCTAGTAGGGTCCTCTTGCTCCTAGTAGCGATGCCAGGAGCCCCTAGTAGCGTCCT